CCTTTCATTTCCTCTGTTCTCTCTCTCTCTCTCTCTCTCTCTCTCTCTCTCTCTCTCTCTCTCTCTCAGAGATTCTCTGTGGAGAACCTGGAATAATAGAAAATGGAAAACGCACGAATAGCTGGAGGGTTGAATTTGAATTTAATGAAGTAGTGACTTATACTTGTGACCCTTCAGATGGACCTCAGGAGTATTCACTTGTTGGAGAGAGCAAGCTTTCTTGTTCTGGGCCTGACAAATGGAGTAGTGGCCCTCCTCAATGTAAAGGTAATGATATTTCCATTTATTCTTCATTTGTAAATACAGTAGAAACACTTTGTAGATAGTTTTACCTATAAGTAAACAAAGAGTCATATATGTGCTTCCTCCTCCTGTTAAATTGACTTTTAATTTATGAAACAAAAATAATTCTAGTTGTAGGAGTCCCCACCTCCAACATGTTCTTGGCACTTCAGTTTATACAATGTGAACTACTGTGTACATGTACGTTAGGGTTTTTTGTTTGGAAGAACCAAAAACTAAACACACACTGGCTTAAAAATAAGTTCTTTTGGCCGAAACCGGTTTGGCTCAGTGGATAGAGCGTCGGCCTGCAGACTGAAAGGTCCCAGGTTCGATTCCGGTCAAGGGCATGTACCTGGGTTGCGGGCACATCCCCAATAGGAGATGTGCAGGAGGCAGCTGATCGATGTCTCTCTCTCATCGATGTTTCTAACTATCTCTCTCCCTTCCTCTCTGTAAAAAATCAATAAAATATATTTTAAAAAAATAAGTTCTTTTTATATTAAAATGTCTGAGATATATCACAATAGGTAATGGTGGAATAAATTGTACAAGACTGACTCTCTTACTGAAAACAATGATAAACTCTGTACACACATTTTTTTAAATGTTTAATTCTTTTTAAAAAAATATATTTTATTGATTTTTTACAGAGAGGAAGGAAGAGGAATAGAGAGCTAGAAACATCAATGAGAGAGAAACATCGATCAGCTGCCTCCTGCACACCCCCACTGGAGACATGCCCACAACCAAGGTACATGCCCTTGACTGGAATCGAACCCGGGATCCTTCAGTTCTCAGGCCAACGCTCTATCCACTGAGCCAAACTGGTGCTGGCTGTACACACATTTTTAAAAAAACAGGGAGTAAATTCAAAACAAGGTAACAGAATAATAAAACTAAAATTCAATGAAATTGAAAACATAATAGTACAGAAAATTCAGTGAAACTAACACCTGCGTTTTAAAGAAGATTGATAAAATAGATATACCTACAGCTAGAATGACAAGTAAAAGGATGATATTTATTATCAATATCAAGAATGAGTCCAACTGGTGTGGCTCAGTGGTTGAACATTAACCTAGGAACCAAGAGGTCACCAGTTTGATTCTCAATCAGGGCACATGCTTGAGTTGCAGGCTCAAACCCCAGTAGAGGGTGTGCAGGAGGCAGCCAATAGGTCATCAATGTTTCTCTCTCTCTATCCCTTACCCTTCCTCTATCTCTAAAAATCAATAAAAACATTTTTAAGTGAGAAGACAACACTGAATACCCTGTAGATGTAAGGAATAATGAATAATAAGTCAATATTACAAAAAACATTATGCCTATAAATTTGACAACTTAAATGAAATTGACAAATTCCTGGAAAGACACAAATTACTGGTGTCCACTGATAGATGAGTGGATAAAGAAAATGTGATACCTATAACAAACGCATATACACATACAATGGAGTATTACTTAACAATAAACAATGAAATCTTACCAATGGAGACAACATGGTGGACATATGTAAAGGGTATTATAAAAATGAAATCAAAAAGAAAAGACAACTATATGATTTTACTTATATGTGGAATCTAAAATGACAAAACAAATGAACAAACAGAAACAGAGACATAGATACAGAGAACAGATAATGGTTGCCAAAGGGGAGGGGAGTGAATAGAGGGGTGGGTGAAAAGAAAATACTGAGTGCGATGAGATTGACCTTGAATCTTCACCCAAAATTTTCAGTAAAACGCTTTTAAACATGGGACCATATTTTTTTTAAAAAGGACTTTGTAACTTCTAAACCCTGCTCTGCCACTTAGTTGGATTAGCTTGGCTAAGTTTACTTCTCTCTCTAAGGCTCAGTTTTCTTGTTAGTAGAATGGTATTAGCCCAACAAGGTGGTCCTATGATCAAAAAAAATACTTTTTTTAAGACACAAAATACCAAAGCTACTGAAAGATATAGGTAACCCGCATAGTCCTATATTTATTAAAGAAAGAGAGTTAAAACCTTCCCTCAAGAATTGCAGACCCAGATGGCATACCTGGGGAATTCTACCAAACATTTTAGGAATAGACAATAGCACCTCTACACAAACTCCTCAAAAAATATAAGAGAAGGGAATACTTCTCAACTTAATTCCATAAGGACAACATTAGAGTGATACCAAAACCAGACAAAGACATTGCAAGAAAATTACAAACAATAGCCTTAATAAATATAGAACCAAAACTTTATACAAACAAAATATTAACAAATCAAATCCTATAATATATAATACAAATAATGCATCATAACCTATTAAGATTTATCCCATAAATGCAAGGTTGGTCCAAATTTAAAAATTAATCAGTGTAATTTATAATATCAAGAGACTGCAAAGAAGAAAACATCATCTTATTAGATGCCCCCAGAAAGCAATTGACAGAACTCATCATCATTTCATAATAAGACTTCTGAGCAAACTAGAAATACTTTTTTTAAGACACAAAATACCAAAGCTACTGAAAGATATAGGTAACCCGCATAGTCCTATATTTATTAAAGAAAGAGAGTTAAAACCTTCCCTCAAGGAGAACTGTAGACCCAGATGGCATACCTGGGGAATTCTACCAAACATTTTAGGAATAGACAATAGCACCTCTACACAAACTCCTCAAAAAATATAAGAGAAGGGAATACTTCTCAACTTAATTCCATAAGGACAACATTAGAGTGATACCAAAACCAGACAAAGACATTGCAAGAAAATTACAAACAATAGCCTTAATAAATATAGAACCAAAACTTTATACAAACAAAATATTAACAAATCAAATCCTATAATATATAATACAAATAATGCATCATAACCTATTAAGATTTATCCCATAAATGCAAGGTTGGTCCAAATTTAAAAATTAATCAGTGTA